GGTGTTAATCATGGATATTATCATCTTCATTATTTTAATTTTAGAGATATGCATGAAACAGTTGCATTATTAAGTAGTATATGAAACAATTTCATAACAACATATGAAACAACTTCATCAAAAAAAGTATTATATGAAACAATTTCACAAGATTAACAATTTCATGAAAAAATTTCATAAGATTATGACGGATGAGAGTAGGTTTTACGGTTTTTACAAATTGGAGTGATTTTCATTTGATCGCTTACACACACACACACACACACATATATATATATATATATATATAATTTCAAAATATTAAAGGTCTATTTGATTTGCAGGATTTGGTATGATTCGAAATTAAATTTTATACAATCTCATGTTTGGTTTAAAAAAGATTTGGAACAGAAATCCATGAATATTAAATTTAAAAATCTCATGGGATTTCATATGATTCGTTTGCAAAAATATATTAAAAGCATGTGTTTTATCATAATCAATTAATAAAAAATAATATAATTACTTTATAATTATTTATACTTCATTTCTTTATAAATTTTTCTATAAATAATAGAATTCAATTCTAAATTTCTCTAATTTTAAATCATGCACAAAATTCAAATACTTTAAAACCATTTCGTCAAATTAAGGAGTTGTTCGTTTACCTCTTAATAGTTTCATTAAGAAGTAAATCTTGTTTGACAAAAAAAAAATCTGTCTCTTAAAAGTTTTGAAACCCTTTGAATGATTTTGTATCATGTGTCTTCCTTAACCATTTAGCACCCTAATTTTGTTGTAAATAATTACCAAAACAACTATATTTCATTTTACATTGAGTCTTTTAATCATTCTGACTACTTCGTTATTCTGCATCAAACCATTAATCTGTTATTTTTGACGAATTTCTAATGAAGATTTTTATAGTTAAATTATTAAAATATTATAGACATCGATGATATCGATTTTAGTTCACTAAATATTCTGAAGGAAATGTGGACGGAATCAAAACATTTAATTTTGTGTAAAATCGTGGATTATAATTAAAGTTGACCCACCAAAATATATAAACATATAATTAATATTTGCTAATTTCGTAAAGTGATGGTAGTTGACAAATCCAAAAGGCATTTGTTAATAATTGACTAACCATAATGGTTGTATATTTCAATATCATAATCAAAAATACGACTTAAAATACGTATATAAAGCTAAAAAGAACAAGTGTTTTATCCAAATGACCTTTGACCTAGCGATATCTGAGTTTTTTGCTTTCTAGGATGTCAAAGATTCAAACCTCATCAATGATGAGGAATGCATGTAAGTTTATTTATTATATTTATCGTATATTATATACTTAAGAAAACCAACAGTTTCATTAAATTTTCATTCTTAGATTAATAATATTTTTAAATCTCACAGCATTACACATATATATATATATATATGTATATATATGTATATATGTATATATATGTATGTATATATATATATATATAAAGTTGGGTTCATGTGAGACCAGAGGTTTTTCATGAGACCCGTAAGACCAATTTATGTTCATTGATCAACTTTATAAGTTAATAATCTAATAGTCTAAAGTTGTACGGTGACAATTTTGTGATTATTGAGAAGTCTCGTGGCAATTTTGTGATTATGAATGTTCAGATTGTAGATCTAATCCAATGGTTGAGAATT